AGTACTGCGATGAGTGCCAGGCGGGCGTATGTACCGTCGACGTAGACGCGCTACATATACATACGTATGTATCATACACATACGCAGAACAGCTATGACATCTCGAGCAGCTGAGCTCATGTGTGATCGTCATCGTAGTACAGCATGCTAACAGCGCGCCCAATCATACTATACCTAGATACTAACCACCGACGAGCATGAACGTCCGTGTCGTGGCTCTCCGGTGGATGTCAGTTCCGAGCTTAGTTACATACTCCTCGCCTCCCTCAGATCTACACTACTAACGACAAACTAGCTTAGCCTCCTCATTCTCAAACACGGCCTAGCAGATATACTTTGCCTTCTCCCCTTGTAGCACGGGCTAGTGGATTCCTGGCCCCAAGTCGTCACACCACTAACGCGAAGATAAAGTTATCACGTTCAATCAATTCTCCGAAACTTACGGCATCGACTAAAATAGTCTGTCCGACCACGCTGAGGTAAAATAAAGGTGCATGGACTAGTAAGATGTACGGCATTTCTCCGGAACTAATGCAGTACATCGTATTTGAAACATGTCTCATTGGAAACATCCGCCGTACGTACTCCAAGGTACAAGCTACCTATTAGATTCACATCTTCACTATGCGACGGCGCGATCTTCCAGTTACGTCGAACCTACCTATACAATCGGAAGGACCTCAGACTCAAATGTGATCTCTATGTCGCATGGCCCTCTCTACCAGATACGAAGATGATATTTATAAAACCAACTGGAAATAACAACGACTTGAGCCACCAGACCACAACAAGCGTCAGTGGTGCCAGGACAGAGACCATAAGCTAATGCACAAGGTTCGGGGACCAAAACCCAGGGTAACATAATTTGGTCAAGGCATCAATCAGAGACAAGAAAGGAAAAATGGTAAGCAGATACAACAACATAATCCACATCAACAGAGAACGTAATTGAACAGGTGAATCGCCCACAGATTTGGACGACCGACGGCAGAAAGAAAAATGAAGTAGAAGAGAGGTCCAACAGTAGCTCAGCTAATGCAAATTACCCCGACAAACATCCCCAATGACATGATCCGCGATGACCAGTATTCGCGCGCAGGAAAAGGAAAAAAAGGACAACAGAACAGCAAAACAATTCCCTCCCGATTAGATCATTTTCTCATGCGATCTAATTCAAAAACAAAACAAAGCATAATGGGGACAGAAACGTAAGTCGCAAGGCCACTCTTTTGACTCGAGCAATCACGGCCAGAGATGGTATCATGTGCGCAACACTTCAGAGAATTGGATCCGGGACGGCGATACGGGGATTAGGAGAGTTTGTGATTAGAGTATGCAACCTAGGGGAGAGAGGAAGCAGGGTGTCTATTGCGGGTAGCTGGTCGATTGGTTTTCTGCAAAGCCATCATCGATCAGCTACAAGCCCTAGAACAACAGACCAGAGGAACGCATCCCCCTTCACTTTCCTTTTCGCCTTTCTCTTGGTGGACCGTGAATAGGGTTGGTGGTTTTTTTCTTTCTTTTGCTTGAAATCCCATGGCCCAATCCTGACCAACAATGCAAACAAAGGACTGGCTACTTACGTTGCTGATAGACTTGGCCGCTCTGGCCGTAGGGGGAGTGAGGGTAGTTGGGAGGATAGGCCATCTGCCCGTTGCCCTGGTAGACCATGCCACCAGCACCGGGAGCGCCGTACTGGCCAGGCACCTGGCCGTCGGCCGGTTGGTACCCAATCGGGGGGAGTTGAGGACGAACGCCTCCAGCGTAAGCAGGAGGTTGAGCAGCCTGTGCAGGATCACCGCCAGCAGGCGCGTCAACCTGGTTGGCCTGAGCCGCTTGAGCAGCGGCAGCACGCTCACGCTCTTCGGCAGCTTTACGCTGCGCTTCTTCCTCCTTCTTCCGAGCCTTCCACTCCTTGCGAATTTCCTTGAATTCTATACCAAGCAGTTAGTGTCAGATTCTTGACCATCCCGAAAGGGATTTCCGAAATGAAAGAAGCAAAGAGGAAAAAGAATAAAAGACGATGACATCTGTCTAGGCGGACAAGAGGCTACGATTAACCTCTACGCCGGGCTCACGCACTACTGCGATCTGTCGCGCTAAAGCGGTGTAACACGACTAGCGTGCGGTACCCGCACTAGCCCCATCCAGATGTTTCCGACCCCTCATCCAACCACTAATGCGACGCGATACGAAAACAAACCAACATACCTTCAGGAGTCCGCTTGGCTCCATGAGACTGCATCGTAACATGGGCATTCAAGTGGTTGAGTGTACCATAGGCTTTCTCGCAACCATTCCATCCGCACTTGTACATGCGCTCAATTTCTTCATAGCGACGGCGAGGACGCTTATGTTGCTGCGCACCCGGAATGGGGACAAAGGAGTAGACCTAAGGCAGAGAAGAATCGAGAGTCAGCGGGTGTCAGATTAGAAGATAGTTGAAAACAAAACGACAAAAAAATGTGCGCTGTTTCACTTCCTTCGTCCGACAGGGCGCAACCCCCTGGTAGGGCGAGGGGTGATCAACCTCCCGGAGGCGTCTCAAGACAAAAATCCAACGCAAAAATGCGCAGAGCCTTTGGAAACAGACGCCAGAATCACCAAAAACATACCTGGCCAGGGCGCGGCCCTGCGGTCGCAGCAGGGGAGGCGGGACCAACCGTTGTGGCAGGAGTGGTATAAGGTCCAGGCAGACCATGTTGATGTTGACCATATCCATGCGACCATTCTGGACGCGCATACATCTGAGGCGGCGGCGGAGGCGGGTGACCTTGGTATTGCGCCATCTCATGACCCTGCGGCTGATAGGGCGAGTAGGGAGGGGGGTAGGTAGGGCTGGAGGCCGCGATGGAGGGATCTATAGGAACGCCGGCGTCAGACTTCACGTTCGAGTGGTTGCGATGGCCATTGTGCTGCCCATCATGATGGAGGGTGGTGGTCATGGACGGACTTGTTGCTTGAGCCATACCTGCCGCACCACCGGGTTGGGTGCTGGGCGCGTGGTGGTACTGAGGCGGGCGAGCGAGGTACTCGGGGTAGGCGGGGGAGCGCGCGGCGGGCGGTTGACTCAGACCGTAGTCCGACTGCGGCGTGTTGGAGGAGGAAATATTGGCGGCGGGGCGCACGTCGGGTTGCGGCGTGTACTGAGGGTTGGGGCGGACCTCCGGCTGGGGGGTCGAGGTGTATTGAGCAGTGGCTGCAGCAGAAGTCTGGTCTGCAGCAGGGAGTTCAGAATGGGGCGCGGCAGACGGTGTATATGGAAAATGCGAACCTGACTGCGCGTACTCGGAGGCAGGTCGGTTGTCCATATAATACAGGCGTCACCGCTACCGGGATCAAGACCCTTGACGAATTCCTCCTGACCAAACAAAAGAAAGAATCCTTCGCGTATCCTGTTGAGAGACGCGTCGAAAGAGACAATGAGCTTTCTGTGGTGGCCAAAGGGAGAAAATTTTTGGGAAAGGAGGAAAGAAAAGCCGAACGCTTAGAGCGTTGAAGCAGGGGAGGAGATTGGTGCAGATATCTGAAGATCCCGCGGCGACGGTGGGATTTTGGGGGTGGGTGATCCTTCTTGTCGGTTGGAACGTACTATTTAGAGCAGATACAGTCAAGTAGATAGTCTGCGACTAAGTCCTTGACTAGATTCGCGCACGTCCAAGTCCACAACAATGTAAGAGTGAAGGATAGGATCCAAGTAAGATCGACGCGTGAATTGGGGCGCGATCAGTGACACTTCCAAATATACAGGGGTGGAGGTGACACCGAGGGTGAATTAAGGGTGAGGGGGTGAAAAGAGAAAGTGAAAAAGAAAGAAAAAGAATAAGTGACAGTCAAAATGAAAAAGTGATGTCGAGGGTATCACTTTTGGCGAGGGGAGGGAAAAGAAGTATGGTGTTGGATCACGATGCTTAATCGCTCTAGTCGCCGCTTAGGGTGACGGAGGAATGCCTTGCAGGGTGGCGGAAGGCACAACAGCACGAGGAACCAGCGGGAATGGAAAGGACGGACTCTCTGGAGGAGGGGGTGGGAAGAAAAGGGTTTAGAAAGCAAGCAGAGACACCTCCGATCACTCTCTGGTGTTATGGGGGCCAAGATTGAAACAATCGAACAGGTAACAAAAAGAGGGTACGGCAAATCAAATCAAATAAAAAAAAAAAGATTTTCGGATGAGATAAAAAAGAAAAATAAGAAATAATATCAGAGCTAAAAAGCCAATCCACAGTTCCAAAAGGTGATAGCGCGAGAGACGATGCCTCGATTGCAGGTGGCAATACCGTAGCACAATCACCCTAAGTCGCGACGGAGGGAAATGGTTCGACTCGATCCGAGAACAAGAGAGGGGACCTGGGCAGACGAGGCGGCCTAAAAGGCTTTGGACTGGGGCAGCAAAGACACTGTTCGGCAGGAGGAAAAAGCGCAGGTTAGGAGCACCTCGTGGGATCCGAGGGTACGGTGGAGCGCGTGGGACCGTATTTTTTTTTCCTTTTCCTTTCTCTTCTTCTTTTGTCTTTTTTGATAATTGAATATAATTTTTACTTTTTCTTTTTTCGACACCTAATTGAGTATTTTGCGATTCCTTTCTACTGAGGGGTAAGAGGAAATGAAAGTAAAATGATAATGCAAGCGAAGAAGCAGGAGCGAAAGAAAAAAAAAAAAAAAAAAAGGCGCACGATATTTCCAGTCACAAGTTACCGGACAGTGGTACCAAGAAAGACTGGTAGGGAGGTAACAATCTGTAATAACAAACAAAAACCAGAAGGGGCGGTTCTGGTATTGTTACTGGAGGGGCCGCCGCGGAGAGGATTGATATCTTATTTGTTCCCTCTTCTTCCTCCCTCTTTTTATTATTATTTTTTTTTACGGAGTATTGCTTTGCTGACCTTGAGAGCGGAGTTGCTGTCGCTATGTGGTGATGGGTCCATTAACTCGACCCACTCTCTCTTGCTCGTTGGAGATGGAAATATCAGGGCCCCAAGGAGGAGAGCAGAAGGTACTCCGTAAGGTACGGAGGAAATCACCTCTTCTCGTTTCTATTCGTTTCGTTTTCTCTGTTTGGCCCCCTTCCCCTCGGTCAAGGTCGTTGATGGAGCAGGTCGGAGGATGACTCCTGTCTTCCGGCTAAGCTTTCCCTGTCTGACCTCGTCTGAATGGCCGATTCGCTTCTCTTGTTTTCGGTCTCCTTAAGGAGCGGGAAACTCCGCTCGCTCTGGGGTGGCGAAATTAAATGGGTAAAAAGAGGTTTTTCCAGTACAACCCCCTTTTCCTCTTTTTTTTTTTTTTTTTCCCTTTTCGAATTTAATTTTTTTTTCTCTCGTCTCAAGAAAATTCTTTATTGTATTCTCTTTGAAAAATTTCACCCCACCCCTTCAAATCCTGTGGTTGTGTCCGAGGAAAACCGCCAAACCAGGTCAACCTGATGTTAAAAGAAGGACGATGATATACTATACTCGGTAGTCGATGGGTTGTTTGTTAGGAGTTTAGGGGTGTTTTAGAGCTTGGGTACTTAGTCTACCCGCGATTCGGGACGGACGGTGCGCCTGTTGAGGCTGGCCGTCAGGAGGCTTTGGTGCGCCTAGCGTATATGCTCGTGGGGACCATCCAAGATCGCTAGTCAACGGTTAGGGTACGCAGGAAGGTCGGTCAACCCTTTAGTCTAACTAGCCCCCGACGGCGAGAGGGAGCTAGGAAATGGCGTGTCCGAGGAACGGCGTGAACGGCTGGGAACAAAGATAGCGTGGGACTAGACAGGAAGAGGATGTAGCGCAAGTCGGGGGGAGGGGGGTAAAGAAGCAAATGAGTGGGCAGGGTGCTCTGGCGCTCGTTCGGTCGGGTGGGGAAATATCAATACCGAGGGTCGCGTAAATCATGACCAAGGAAAAGGGGTCAGGATAGTACTCCGTACTCCGTACATATCGATGATAATAGATTAATCAAATGAAAACCAGAAGATAGGAGAAATCAGGATCAAAATGGGCGGCTGGTTCCGTTGATAGCCATTCTCGCCGCTGCTCGGCTGGAGGATGGTGGTATTGTGGATGATGGGGAGAGTGAACAGCTTGGAGCACCTCTCATGACTGGTGGGAAAAGGAGAGACCATCCATGACAGATATCTTGGTAATCATCACAGGCGGACGGCAAGGTACCTACAACGCATCTGCTGTCACAACCAGTCGTGGACTTGGCGATAAAGAGAAGTGTTGCAGTGGGTTTTTGACCACTATGCCTTCATCGGAGATTTCTCTTCTGAACTGCCTCGATCCTGCCAGGTGTTGGATCCTATCATCCTCTAACAACACACCCAGGTACCTGTACTCTGTCCGTACCCGGCGGAGTATAAGCGGTGTAATATGGTAACGATGGAGCAAGTCAGGAACGCGTCAGTGGGGAACACGAGAGAACCCGACTAATCAGCTCCCAGGAATAATCCCGCTGTCGGACTTTAGGTTCATCCTCAAGCACTCTCTGACGCTAGTGTATATGTATTTCAGGACCCAGTAAACTTCCAAGGTTCATCACCGGCAGCGGGATGAGATACATCAACCAGTTCTCAGGGTCCCTCCTCGAACATGTGAAGAAGGCTGGTTGACTGGTGCACGGGGTGCAGAGCAACGAAAGCAATAGGCCACGATATTATCCGGGAGGGGGGGATGATGATTCTGACTCGAATTTCTGCATATGCATACCTCGCGTGTTTCACAATATCAAAAGTATCAATCTGTCAGGTTTTCAACCCGGTGGCAGGAGCGCAATCTGTCTTTAACCTCTAAGGTATGAAAATGACTGGTGACCTCCAATGAGGTGCTATCAAAGGGACGGTTGACATTAGGGTTAGATTAAGGGAGCGACGAGCTTCTGTTCGGCCGCCTGTGGACATCCATTGGCCTATGCACGATGCAAGTTCCTATTTCCTACTCCATAAGCACCTTGATACATAGACAAGATACACGCATTTACAAGCGACGGAATGCCAATGTTCAAGTGAGGGGGGCCATGGGCTGGAAACCGGAAACCGGAGCGCCCATTGGCATCCATCTTTCGCTCCATGACGGAGGAAGAGCGGTTTGTTCTCGACAGGAAAGCTTTGCGCGAGCCAGACAACGACTCCGTCCATACAGTGTACGACAGGATGGTAGAATGCAAGTCTCCAACCTCGGAAAGATTCCCCTATGGGCCTAGGACTGGGATAGATGGAGGAGGACTAATGATTGGTGTCCAAGCTGGGTCGTACCCCGCGCAGCGGAACCTAGTCACCCACTGCCGGTGAGGAGCAGGGAAGGTGACCATCATAGCTGCCATTGACACGTTACAATGGGTGTCCTGCCGACCTATTGTTACCGTTTTCCCAGTAGTCATGATCTGGTCAGGATGATTAAACGCAGAGAGCATGGGGTGATGAGGCACCCGCCCATCAAGCGGTCTCACAAGTGGATCGGAAGCGAGGCTTTAGCTTCCACAGTGGGTGACCTACAAAGTCCCAACCACAGCTCAAGACATCTGATTGTAATGGTCTGTCATGAACTCGAGTGTTCAAGGCACGATGCTTCCAATTCTCTAGGGCAGAGAGGCGGAGAGAACTGAAGGAAGACATCTATTCAACCTATATTCAATTTGATGTGTATCCGGACAACATGATTTCATGCGGAATAGCACTCATGGTCCCCGGATGTATGGGGTAATACTGCCATCATACCTACCTCACCTCCAGGCCGTATATCACCGTGTCTCGGATGCTGGCCGATTACCATAGGTCCACCGCCAACTGTCGATCGGATTTATACCCCCCTTTCCAGCGACGGGCTCCACTGGATCTGCCATCGCATCACGACACCAATGACCGGAGTTCGGTTAGGCGCACAGCATACAGTGAGAGGGTGCCGGACACGGTAGCATGAAGTTAACGACCAAGTAAGACTGAGAATGAGGGGATCGCTATCTCATGATCTCATGGGTAGGTAAAAGCAGTTGGCATCAAGGTTGGCGTAAGATACCACGGTGGCATACATGGAGGTGATTGGGTTGACACTGACCAACGCGACCGGTCCACCGTGGACAACACAGAGGGCGGTCGTAAGAGGGAGGTACAGGTATTAATGACGCGAAACCCCATATTTCCATTCCATCTCATGATGATGATGATTAATATTATCTGGTGGGTGGAGCCCCATATGCATAGCAAAGGGAAAACACGCCCAATTGGGGAGAAGCAAGCGGCGGCTTTTTTGGGGAATTGCAATTCCTCCTGACTGCCCCTTTTCTACGTGAACACAGACAAAACCACTCTGTCCAAAGTTATTGTTCAATAACGTCCGTCTCACGTTGTGTAGGGTCTTCGAAGGATAGAGTACATACCCGTCGCGTTAGTTCGCTCTATGCAGATAAACTACAACCTGGCCATGTCCGTGTCCGAGCTAATGGGTGCTTCGGGAGCCTTAGAGCCTTAGGGATGATCTCAGTTTGCTCCACGTGGGCGGAATGGCTATCTTAGCAGTGGTTAGGCCAAAGCTCGAGTTTATATCCTACTACTGTTATTTCACAACAACGACAATAATAATAACGCTCAAGAAAAATGATATGAATATTCAACAACCCCCGTATATACCTTTTGCCCAAGTAATCCCTCCTATCATCTCGTTCATTCGGGACTGCCCTGTTCATGGACGACTCAATTGGTCGGGGCGGGGTGGCTGTCAATAATGGGCCGTCCATCGCATGATATGAATGGTCCCCTCCATCATGCAGCGAAGAGCTTACTCGTCGAGTAGTCTCGAATTTTGCCGAGGAAGCTACCTGCACGAAGCCCGATTTATCCAGTTGCTGATGGCAGCAAGGGTTCGCCTGCCGGATGGGATGTCTTCCAGGATGCGGCTGTGATAGTATGCTTTGTCCGGTGGAGTCTGATGGAGCTATGGGTATGGATGTTAATACTATTCCTCAGAGGGATGAATAGGGAGTAGTTAATAGTCTTCACTGTTATTAACGGAGACCGTCGTGACTCAAAAGCCAAATGTTGGTCCTAGCTGCAGAGGATGTAACTGACTACCCACCTACATATGTAACTATCAACCGGAGGGATTAGCCTTGGTCCGGAGTGCTGCCTGAGGGTCCAGGCACAGAAAACGTGCGCCAATCACGACCAGTACAATTCACCGGGGAGTCATGCGAATGGGCCAGATTGTCCACTGGCGGTGGTGACCGTGATCGCGTCGTCGAGTACGCGGGAGATAAACGATGGTCGGTGATACCAAGGCTTCGGCCGTCGACGGAGGAGAGGGTGGAGAGTGGGTCCATACTAAGATTAATATTAATAAAAACAAAAGAAATAAAATAAATACCTAGAAGAGCATTTGGTTAGTTGGACACGGAGGCCTCCGTGTCCCGTCCTTCTCTTCCCTCTTACCAAGCAAAAGCGCCCGTCCATGTGGATTCGGAGGGGGTGGGAGGAGCTTAGAGCGCCTGTCTTACCTGACCAGGATACTCCATCGCCCGAGATAAGGCGAAACATACTTTGTAGATACCTTACTTTGTAGAACCAGAGATGTAGTATCACGGGGTCCATCGCGAATAACAAATACTACCTCAATGGATCAAACGTCTCCAGAGTTTGGTTCGAGGGAGCCGGACGGAGGAATTTGTCATGGTGCTGAACCCAAAGACGAACAGTCCACATGGAAAGCATGAGAGCTGTTTCGGACGACTCCTCCGAATACCAGGAGTGCCAAGACGTTCATGGTGGTTCAATTTCGGGCCCTCCGCGGAAAATCCAATGGGGCAGACAGATAGTGGACTTCTCTGACCCGTGCACCACAGGAGGAGGAGGATGGGGAACATCCGCTACACTCCTCTCCGGAGTAACTAGTACTCGAGGGGACATTCAAAAAAAAAAAAAAAAGCAATAGTCGTCCATTGTCAGCACTGCATCCACGCGCCCAAACTGACTCGCTGGACAATCCCACCGGGTGTTGTAAGGTTACATGTTCTATGCATATTCTACGGCTGCTCTAAAAGAAAGCCAGGCTCGGCCAGGAGACTGGGAAGGCGGTTGAGGCTTTCCAGGATCCGACACGGTCTGGGATGGTGCTAATTCTTATTACGTTAGCGCTGGACTTGGGAAGAAGGGGCAGCGGTCGAATGAGCAGGACGCTCCATGAGATTATTATCAGCGGAAAACCCGACATCCGCGCATGGGGACTGCAATATCGGGGGCTTGCCTCAATCAGTAGTCAGTAAAGGAGGAGTAGTTGTACCCGAACCCCCAGTGGAGGCCTTCCTAACCCGCTTGGGAATAGCCGATCATGCCTAATGCTGCATATGCTTTGGCGCTTGTACTGTTGGTATTGGCGCTAAGTGTATGGTACCATTACCGTCTTCTGGTCCAAACCGAAGTACCTCTTCTTTACCTTACCTCTTCTCATGATATGGATAAAGGTACGGAGTTCTCCTCATGGGAAACGAGTCTCAAGTCGGCCATGTCCTCGGCTGGTTAGGCTTATCTTGATTTGCCGGTTCCCTGGACATGAATTGACCCCTGAAGACCCTTCATCTCCTGGAGTCATGTCCTCAGTCCTCGGTATCTACGTACCTACCTATCTGTCGACCTGCCTGTCTGGTCCCCTCCTGCATATGTACACCAACAAGTGACAGCCCCACTGCAACAACCACGGACGCTCGGCGGCTTCATTTCACGCGATATCGTGGACACGGATACGCTTTGCTGAACCGCGGATAGTCCGATCTGGCTGTCCCGGCTGGGCTACCTTAGCTAGGCGGTAATCACTTCCGTTTGATAGGACTACTCCTGTCTGCGATGCAGTTTAGCCGGCACGTCAGCCATCAGCCACATCGTCCACCACATATCTACCCCAGGCACAGACTTGATCCCTCAACCGGCGACATCTGTACGAGTCAGACAATCCACGGTATCATACAACAATTCCACAGATGCCTTCTCGCTTTCTCCGATGTTTCTCCTTCCCCACACTGGCAGCGGGCACATGATCTCGGCTACATCTACGCGACGCTAGACGGGACACATCCCCGCAATTGAGCCTCCCTCCCCGGACGATACCTACCTTAGCTAGGCAGGTACACTAGGTCTCTGCTCCGGAATCGGCCATTGTCTGGTTGGTGAAATCACGACCTGCAGTCCGTCGGTGGGAGCGCCTCATGTGGGTTTCCTCCTTACGCCGCTCCTCCTCCCAGCCCCGGATGCCCCATCCGTCCATGTCCATGTCTGCCGGGAAAATATGCTCGGCAAGCTCTCCGTAACCCTGCGTTGTTGGACAGCGATCGCCGGAGACTGGCTTGGATCCTAGGTAGGGGTATCGGCCGTCTCCCACAAAGGACTAGATCAGATCACGGCTCGTGTCGTGGAAGCTGTCTGAATCGATCTCCAAACAATGTCGAGGAAACGTGCCCGCGACAATGGAGTCCCGCTGTCCAAGCTTAAATCTTGCCTATTCCTGCCTAGCTCTACCCACATCGACACCACGAGTTCCGTACGGACGTTGAACACGGACATCAGGACATCAACGTAGTGAAGATGGCTCTTTCCTCGACAATTGCATACCAATCGAAAGTGTCTTCCAGAAGCAGGATCCCACACGACCTTTGATGCGACTCTGCACAATGTTCAAAGCTGATAACTCGTGGAAAATTTACTCCGCAGACGATAGCCCTGGAAGGAATTCTCCCGTTCAATCCTCCCACGGGGAAATATATCGTGGCCGGTAGACAAACCGGTCTATACATATAGCACATAATAATGGCACATCAATGCCGGGAGATCATCATCTCGTACGCTACAGCCATAATTGAACCGGATATACAGCCATGTACGGACAACAAGCTCTCCTATGCCTCGCTGGCATCCCCTTGATCCAGGCTCTACCTCCACCCTCTGCTGGACGGGAAAAGTTCGACTTGGACTCGACCAAATACATGTCAGTCACCATCTCCATCGGTAGCAGCTCAAGGAGAGAGATCCACTCGCTGAAGCCAGACTAACCAGGACCCAACCGGTAGGCTCGCCTTCGGGGACTCCTACACCTACATCCAAGGGACACACGGCCACCAAAACTACAGCTTCATCGGAGACCAACTAAACTTCGCGTACGACGCGCACACGCTGCTCAGCAACAAGATCGTCCAAAACCAGGTGTGCCGCGCAACCGCAGCCGCGTTCTATCTGCCTCTAGCATCAAACTGACCCGATCTGTTTTTCTCCCCCACAGACCGGCACCGCAGAAGGCGGTCCCAACTGGGTCGAATTCCTCACAGGATGCGGTGCGAACGAAGGCCTGACCTCGCCATTGAGCTGTGACCGACAACTCTGGGATTTCGTCTACGCAGGCGCCGACATCTCCGTAGAATAGTACGTGATCCTCTCCCCTTCTCTCCCCCTCCAGGGGAATGTACTTAACACTCTACAGCACACCCCTCCACCACAAACTATACCATCTCTCTTGGGTCACCAAATCATCCAGTATAAGGACTACGGGTCATCCCATCCTCAAATGCATCGTCAAACCCGGTGCAAAACCCTCGTCGCGATCTGTATCGGCATCAACGACATCAACGACAGCGCCAAATACGCCGTGCACTTCCCAACCTTCTACAACGACCTGATCGCCACGCTCTTCGACTCCGTGCGCCAGCTGCACACCCTCGGCTACCGCTCCTACCTCTTTATGAACCTGCCCCCGCTCGACCGCACCGAGCGCAACCAGCAAGCCGCCGTCCCAAGCCCCAACGCCACCCAGATCGCGTGGTTCAACGCCGCCCTGCAGCAGCATGCGCACCGCTTTGCGCAGTCCCACCCGCGCGCCAGCGTCATGGTGTACGATGCCCACGCTGTGCTGGCTGATATGATGGATCATCCTGCGCAGTATGGCATCGTCAACACGACACACTTTTGTCGCGGGTATGACCAGCCCGATATCGCGTGGAACTATCAGGCCTATGGGTGTCCCACGCCCGTGGATACGTACTTTTGGTTCAATTCGGGGCATCTGACGAGCCATGTGCATAAAAAGCTCGCGGAGGCTCTGGGGGAGACTCTGGCTGGTTGGACGGGCTAGTCAGTGAGTGGTCATATGCGCCTGTCCTCGGGGTCTAATCTACGAATGGCAAAGATGGGATGAGATTGTGGTAGTGAGGATCCAGAATAATTCGTGGTGAAACTACCCCAAGATACATAGTTCAGCGACAACTATGCCATCCACAGGTGCATCCCAGTTGCGTAGGTGGCTACCAAATTTGGAATGTAATCTAGTGGGTAATCTCTTTAATATACCGAATGACACAGCAAGCTATTATGGGAAGGTAGAATGACGACATTAAAACAGGCGCTCTCGGCCCTTGGGAGTTGTGAAACCGTGCGTGAAACAATCTGCCTTGATATATATATATATGTATCGTAGGGCTAGCTGCCTCACCGCACTATATAAAGCCCTCACTCAAAGACAAGGACGATGACCTCCGCATGCATCAGCAAAGCGGTAGCTACACTACATTAGACGACTGTGTATCTCTCATATTGAACGATTGAAAAGATAGGTACATTTCTGATAGTATCAGCATAGAGACTGAAGCTACAGAGTATTAAACTCGTCTTTCCATAGCGAGGGATAAGCGCCAAATACAGAAACTTTTGCAAAACCAATCCACAAACGTTGGCGGAATTAACATATCGTATGCGTCGGCTGGAATGAGCCTTCCGAGGCTGTTGTCATCTCGATCTGAGGGTGCAAGAGCCGAATAAATAAAACACATGAAACTGTCTATCGTGACTGTCGACGAACGCCGCCCGTACCGTGTTACGAAGGAATCTGAAAATATGACTGCGAAGAAAAGCAAGGTCTACCGGTGTGACAATGGAATACAAGCTCAATGACTGCACTGAGCATCATGATCAGTTTACCAGCGGCGGTTGTTTCCAAGGGGAGCGGCATTGGAAGCAGTCTGACGGCCACCGCGACCGCGGCCACCGCCACCACGACCACCCCAGCGGCCGTAACCGCCGTAGCCACCGCCGCCGCCACCGCTGTAGCGGACCATCTCGGCGAGACGGGGATCAATCTGCTGCTTGGCCTCAGTAAGGATAGTAACCAAGTCACGAGCCTGCTTAGAGTCTGGGGTATACTGTTAGCATGGAGAACGACTGGAAACATTTGGACCGAGTCAACTTACTGTCAGTGGTGAAAAAGGTAATGGCGGTACCCTTAGCACCGGCACGACCAGTCCGACCAATGCGGTGAACATAGTCTTCGGAGTTGTTGGGGTAGTCATAGTTCAGCACATGAGTGATGTCGCGAACATCTTTTCAAAGAAAAACTTATGTTAGCAAACAGACCATTAGTCAAATAGCAACGTGGCTTAGGAGCCCTTTCTCAGTCGTGTGAGACTTGATGCATCGCTCTCTTCCTCTCGGACAGTCATAGCAAGATCCGCTGTGAGAGTAAGTCCATGGGTGGGCAGTCATCGCGGTCCTAGAGCAACCTTGGAATGCAGCTTCAACAAGTCGAAACAGAGCACAGAGAATTCGACTTCTCTACCATCTGTAGTCAGAGATAGAGTTGGAGAATCTGAACAGAAGAGCTATTACGTCTGCTACACTGCATCGTGAGTCCAAGGTCCTCTTGGTATGAGAACCAATTCAAGAGACCCGACAAAGCCTGGACGAGTCATGTATACCAGCTTGGGTATCAAGAGAGTCGAGCACCGTGCCATATGTCACACAACCTCAATGGGTGAGGGTGCTTGTGAGGGCGAGAGAAAGGAAAAGGGAAGTAGGGGGGAGGGGAGGGGGTGGATTGCGAGTTTCATCATACCGATACCACGGGAAGCCACGTCAGTAGCCACCATGATTGGGCTCTTGCCCGTCTTGAACTCGTTCAAAACCAAATCTCTTTCCTGTTGTTTGCTTG